AAAAAAAAAAACTGTTAATGAAATACAAGCGAAGTCTCCTTTGCACATTAAAGCAAGTCCAGCCATTTAATATCTTCGTATCAGGCTTTTCAAAACCCAGTGATTTTACAAACAACTCTAATGAATAAACATACAAACTACTCTTTAGAGGGCCTCAGTAAGGATTATAACGGCTACGTCCACGACCACCATCACTGCCGCGCCTTCCACCACTCGAGCTGCCCCGCCCCCGACCACCTCCTCTTTGGGGCAGTGGAAGTGTATGTGGTTGCACACTCGGTTGTTGACTAGACAAAGCCCAATAAAAATTAAAAAAAAAAAAAAAACAATCAGCATTCACAATTCAAACAATATTTGGGCTCTTTTTGCAATTATGTCAAGTCTCGAGGGTAGAATTTGTAGTGATACTATATATATGCTAGGTACGGTAAACCTGTAGGTAGTTTATAGCTAGTTTATAGCTGATAAATTAGCTTATAACTTTTAAGTGAATTTCGAGCTGATAGTGTATGACTTATGGTTGAAAAACTAACTAATATTATAAAAGCGTTGAGTAAAATTAGTTGATAAGCTAGCTGAAAAAAAAAATCATTGGGTTTATTCGAAAAGCTACTCAAGGAAGTTTATGAGATAAGCTCGAGCTTTTTAAAAAAACTCGTCGTACCATACCAAGTTTATTTGAATACAGAAAGCTTAAGGTAATCAAGTAAGCTATAATCTAGCTTATATGTTTACCAAACATAGCAAAAGGCTACAACTACAATAAATTTTGTACACGTTCTCCATTTTTTTTCGATTGATTTTATTTTTCAGAAGATTGATCAATGTACAGTCAGTCTTTCAAGTTTCAAGGCATAGTAGTTTATTCACTTACAGGACATATCCAATTCTGCCATCAGGCATAAGCATGGGCATCATAGCCATGCCAGGCGAAGCTCCCCTTCCATAGAGCAATGGCTGCAATACGACATATCAAATATCAGATAATATAGCTAGACAAAGTAAAATTATACGATATCACATAAGTTAGGTGGCAGATAAATTCTGATGGTGAACAATTAGCAGATAGAAAAATGAGCAAAAAAAAAAAAAACAGGAGAAAAGAAAACAAGAGGTCTTGCTTGTGGAAAGCCTGCACCAGGATATCCGGCACCTAAAGCCCCATAGCCAGGTGTCAAACCATATCCCATGCGAGGTGGGTAGGTTGGTAATAGAGCTGGTTTTTGAGAACTTGATATCCCGGTCGTTTTCTGATCTGCCTGAGGCTTCGCGAGAGAGCATTCTACAACTTGCCCTGTCAGATAAAACCCAAAACTAGGATAAGAGAAGGAAAAACTCGTTTCTATTGGAGCATTACAACTACGGACAGCAAAATTAGTATCCACTAGGAGGTTGGATAGTTACCATCAAGTTCATATTTCTCGGTGTTCTTTAGAGCTTTCATAGCACTTGACCTGTCGGCAAAGTGAACAAAACCGTATCTGCTTTTCTCGTGTCCTGGTTTAGCTGGAGGAAGAACAACTTTGGTAATCTTCCCATGATGTTCAAACAAGTCTATAAGCTGATCTTGAGTTACATCTTTTGGCAAGTTCTTTACATAGACAGCTTTGATCTGTACAAGCACGAGCCTAATCAGAGGATTTCCTCGGTGCCTTAACTTTCACTTTACGAATCTAAACCGAGGATTTCCTCAGTGCCTTTTTGGAAGCCATTCCAGAAATTTAACAGAACAAACTAATTATGATCGGATCACCAATGAGATGTAAGAAAATTTTCAATTAGATTGTAGCAGGCCAACTAATCATCCAGAAAGGTTAAAGCATAAATGAAAAAATAGCATAGCACGGAAGAAAACCTGCAAAGACGAAGATTCTGCGTTTTTCGGATCTGCCCAGCTCACAGTTGGAGCATTGTCATCAAGTTTAAATTTTGGATTAGACATCTTTTCCTTTGAATACTCGGCACAAGCACTATTATAATACTCGATGAAAGCAAATCCACGGTTCCGACCAGAGTTCTGAGGGTCCTACAAAAAATAATATTCATGTAATACCATTGACATATAAGATATATCAGGACCAACTGCATCAACTAGACAATTAAGAAAAAGATGAACAAGGCCAAAATAGGTAATAAATAAATAAATAAAATAAAATAAAAAATCTAACCTTTAAAAGTTCAACAGCAACAACACCAGGCCCTACTCTATTCACAACTTTCTTCATATCCAACTCCCCCCAGTTTCTTGGTATATTACCGATAAACAACTTATGTTTTGCTTGGGATGATGAACACTTCACCTTTTTCCCCTGAGAGTTTTACGGAACACAGATCAATAAATATACCTGACATGCTGAACTAACATGACAATCAACAGGCATTCGCTCAAATTAAAATAGTTTTCCTTATGGATCATTATACATGTTAATTTATGTCTATGTACGTAGAACAAACTGATTACCTTCAACTCAGAACCATTAAGATCCTTAATAGCCTTAGAAGCTAGTTCCTTCGTCCTGAAGGTTACAAAGGCATATCCCTTGCTTTCTTTCGAGTCCTTTCCCTTCATTATTCTAACCTGCCAATATATGCAGGTCCATTTAAATTACATATCGAATACCGAGGTAAAAAAAGAGAAAAAAAAAAATGCTCTATGAGAATGCAACTAATGTTTACCTCTGTAACTTCGCCAATAGACTCACAAAAGCGCCTGAGGTCACTTACAGATGTAACAGGTGAAATCCCACCAAGATATACTTCTGAACCATGTGGAGGAAGTGCAAGAAGCTCAGCATGTTTCTTTTCTAACTCCTCATCAGCTTCAAAACTTTCCATGTCATCGTCCCCAACAGGCTCCTTTCCGACGTCTCGTCCATGAACATCATCTTCCTCTTCTTCCTCTTCCTCTACTTCCTCTTCAAATTCTTCCTCGTCTTCCTCTTCTTCCTCTTCAACTTCTTCCTCTACTTCTTCATACTCAACCTCTTCCTCTAAGGTCTCGTCCATGTCATCCGAAACAAGTTCAACACGTTCTTCAGGTTCGGTAGATTTAGTAGCTGCACCACTGGATCTTGTCACTGGCATCTTATACTCCAATAAGACAAGTGTCTAATGCAAGCTCTGTGAAAAGAGCAGAAGATGGATGCATTTGCGAGAGAACAAAAAAAAATGTGGATCGGCAGTAACCAAGAAAAAAAAAAAAGAAAAAAAGGCCATAAGGAGCTCCGGAGTAAGAATTTGGATTGAAATTAGGTTCCATTTCCATAAGGTATAGCTCCAAGGAGTTTCAAAGTGCACAATTCTAAAACAAGGGCTGAGAAAATGTAGTACAAACAGAAAAAGGCAAGAGCGAATGCTGAATTGTAGGAGCATGCTGCTCAACAGGTACAATATCAAAGAAGCAATGTATATCTTGATATATAGACAATGATTGACGCCGAAGAGAAAAAAAAAAAAAAAA